GAGAGAGAGAGAGAGAGAGAGAGAGAGAGAGTCCGTTGAGTGAGTTGCGCGATACCTGACGTTAAGATACGCTCGCAGATCACGCGGGGATGAAGAACACAATGCGAGATCGTCAGTTTAACTGGGCCATAAAAGCGGTACCCGAGCGTTATAAGAAAAGCCATATAATTAGCATTGCAAACGTTTCCTCGCTCCCGCTCCCTTCCGGTTTCGTTCCTCTTAGAATTCGTTTAACGCCGGTCTCTACCTCTATTCCCAGTTTCAAAAAAATCCGACCATTTATACTCCGTTCTGCATCCTAACGAGCAAATTAATTAGTTTGCATAGAACTTTATTATAGTCTGATGCGATCTCATTTTTGTCCTCGCAAAAAAGAAATGAATGTTTAATTGTGCGAAGAATGCTAATATATGTATTTTGCATTGTACACACCACACCTCCTGTCTTATCGTAATTTCAATTAGTTTGTTAAAATTTCCATTAAATTATTCCCTCGCTCGAAGTCGAGCTTCGGAAAACGGTTTCATTATTCATCTCAAAGTCCAATTCGTGAAATTATTTTTACCGTTCATTGTTTACAAATAATTAAAAAGCTGTGTTTCGATATTTCTAGAATTAAAAATTTTAGACGTTCATACAATATTCGCCAATCATCCAGTAAATATCTGTCGTACTCCACTTTCTCGATGATATATATATCCCGTTTCACTGGAATATCATTCGCGGTAACAGTGTTTTCTCCCTTTTTTTTCCATTCGGCATGCTTGACTGATCGCGCAACAAGGAGCCTTAAACCGCCTCTACTCTCTGCTTTTCCTCCTATCGAGAAATCCTAGGCTGTTAACTCGCGGACCGTCCTGTAATCAATGCACCATCGCCGTCGTTATGATCACCTACGATACCGATATCCTCTTCCTCGTCGAATTTTACGACCGTTGCTCCTCGCGGCGGCTTCGCATATTTCCGGGAGTCTCTTCTTTTCGACATCTCGGTCTCTCTTTGATGATCTTCCATGGTGTTGAATTTCGAAGAATCGAAATACCACAGCACTTCGGGAAAAGGTAATAGGGAAAAGGTTCGGTGGAAACGTTACTGCCGCGACGTGGGAACACATAATCTCTTTGATTTCCTCAGAGATTCTGAGTGAGTGATTTTTCAAAGATTTGAAGATTTACATTTTCTCTCAACGGTACATAGGACGTTTCCTATACAACATATCCCGATTATCAACTTACAAAACGCATTCCCGTGGGCATTAGATTATTTATAAATTTTTATTATAGCAGAATAGTAGACTAAATAAATTTCTACTCGAAAAATAGTACTATATTTTTTATTATCATATACGTCGTATACTTTGATTATAACTTGAAATTACTTTTAATTTATTTTTATTATATTTGACTATTTTATTTCTCTGATCTCATGATTTTCTAAACTAATAATATAAGAATTAAGAAAAAAAAATAAAAATGTCTTAGGTCTACTAGAAGATTTAATTTCGCGACAAAATATGAAGACAGCAAGGAAAATCATGAACCTGTTCGACTTATAAACGATCGTCCTCCCGGTGACGAACGATCGGGCACCCTTTAATATACCAACCACCCGCCCGCGCCGCCGCGCCGTCTCGTTCTCCGTAACTTCGCGATGGCGGCCACTTTCAAACTTGGTCTCCATTCGGTGTTACAGCTTTATAAATGGGGCCCGGATTAATTAGCGCGACGAATTCACCGGGTCGGGTCGCCAAGCGGTCAAACTCTAAATCTTAGAGAAGAATATAAAGAATTACGATTTTCTTCATTACTTTACGAGGAATTTTGATTAATCGACTTTCAAGCGCTAATAATGCCCGGCTCGAAGACACGTACGACTTTCGACGTAATGTTTTTTTTTTTTATAAAAGCATTTTATTATATATTTATTGAAAAATAAATCAGATACGATTGACACTATTGATCTTAGAAATTTGTTGATATAATTTGTATAGATCAGATAATATTTCGATAATTAAAATACAATCTATTTTTCGAATTCATCGAATTATTCTGCAGTAGTGACGGATATGTAACAGTGAGTGCGGAGTATGTAAAAGCGTGTAATTATTCTTGATTTCGATCGGCGCTCGCTTGATACGCGTTAATTACGAATCATGGCAGCAAATTAAATTGTGCCCTCACTTTGCGCGCGGTATCGGAAACTGTAAACGAGCCGCGTCGAAATTCAGGATTCGTGGC